CTGATATTACTTATTCATTGCTAACAAAAATTTGTAACTGTACCTCTGTCAGCTACTTTTTTTGAGAGAGAGAGATTTTTTTGCTATAGGGCTTGTGCACTTGTCAGAGAGGAAGAGAGGCAGAAAGCAAGAACTCACATCCTGGATTGATGACCATGGCACAATCCCTTCTCCATTCTCCTCTTGGGATTTTAGACATGCACGGACATATGCCTGACATGAGTTTTAAGTCACCAGGTCTGGGACTTGAATCATGGTGGACTATGTGGAAATCCATCTGCTTGTCCCTGTCAGCTACATTTAAAAATATTTAAATAAATAGCATATCCTGGATTATTAATATACATTTAACCCAGTGGAGTACACTGGTTTCCCATAAATATTTTTGAGGGGCTTTCAAAAAAAGACTATAAGATTAAAATTATTTTTAAAAATTAGGCAAAAGAAAAAAATACATAGATTGTTATTTTACATTATTACAGTAGTCAAACTTCCTCTGACAAAGCAAACCAAGTCCATAAACATTGAAAAGGTGATGCTGATGCCTCATGATGTCAGATAATTTCTGCTTTTAGTCATAATATGCTTTTTTCAATATTTATTTGATCTCATTTGTTTTTATTATTTTTTAATTTGACCTGAGAGAGACAGAGAGAGGGAGAGAAAGAAAATGAGAAATCGAGCTGCCAGGTCTGGGACTGGAATCGAGCTGCCAGGTGGAATCCAGTGCCCCAACTACCATGCAGCCAGGTGGAATCTAGTGCCCCAACTACCATGCCACCTGCTGGCCTCCAAGGCATAATATGCTTTTATATCAAGGTAAAATTTACCATCTTTAAGAAAGATGAAACGAGCAGATTTATACACACAACAACTATGTAAGTTGCACATGTAGCCTTTCTTACCCATAACTTTCCCATCTGCAGGTTCAACCAATCATGTATTGAAAATATGTGGGGGCAAAAATGAACTAGGTCAGTTCTGCACATGCACAAGACTCTGTTTCCCTTGAAATTATTCCCTAAACACCACAGCGGGACAGCTATTTGGATCATATTTACTTTTTATTAGGTATTATAAATAACTAAACATGAATTA